TCTCTCTCTCTCTCTCTCTTTCTTTCTTTCTTCTCTCTCTTTCACGTGTGAATATTTTTTGGTGTGGTAAAATATGAAATCATTGCCTAGTATTTATAGGTGTAATGCAAAATACCAACACAGCCTAAGTGGGTCTTCAGGCTCCACCAAGAAAAGCAGATGGAGTATAAAATCCCTCAATCATGTAATATATCAAACTCACAAGAATCAAAGGGGGGAGGGCATATACGTGACCTCCAGAAATGAAAGAGTGCAACAAATGAAGAAGTGAAATAAATGGGGGAGTTTTACTTCCCATACAAAGATAAAGCATTTAAAAATCGCTAATGATCCCTAAAATTGGGAAGGCCATGTCTGTCTATTTGAACAAGAGCACGTATCTGGTGAGGAAGGTTGAGACATACTCCTTGTAACGGCGATGGTCCCAACCTTTGGATGCAAGTGAATCGACAGCCTAGTTCCTTTAGTTGTCTAAGATCACACTTCTCAAAACTATATGGATCAATTCTTAGTCTGTTTGAGGTCAGTAGAGATTGTGCAATAAAAGTGTAGGTATGCAAAAGCAAAAGGCTAGGGCTTAAGTATTTGTTTGGGAGAAATTATTTGAAGTGAAAAATGATTTATTTATTTATTTTTATTTTTAAAAATTTGTAGTTAAAAAGTAAGGAAAAGTTATGAATTCATGTGTAAAATTATTTTATTGGGAGAATGTGTGGTTAAAAATGAGTTTCGAGAAAAATAATTTTCAAATATGCTGTGCCAGACAAACGATAAATAGATTGAAAGCTAAAACGTTGCTCCAGATGAATATGTACCTCTCAATGTTGTATCTGTGCACAAAATACTTGATGCAATATATATGAAAAACAACAATATAAACTATTCAACATACTTAGTTCCATAAAAGTACTGGATGGTTTTTACACCAACATGACTGGATGGTTTTTACACCAACATGCTCTCTTATAAATAATTTCTTGTTTCCTCCATATTGTCATACAGTAAGGCTACAGCTGAATATCTAAACAAGTGTTGAGTAGCTTCTTCCAAATTAATATTTATTCCTTGAAATTAAAGAGATATCGTGTCCAGTCCTCAATAAGTTCAACTCCATTTCACTCACGGGCTTTCATAACAACCTCTTACACGAGAAAAATGGTACCACTCCTTAAGTATAAACACCATAGGAATTATGAGTACACCAAATGATGGGTTACCATGAAAACAATACTTTGCACATCGCAAATCTTGCAAAATCTTCAAGCATCATAGCTGCTTCACTAGCATTTAGAGCTAAAATAAAAATGACAAGTTTATAGGGGGAAAATATTAATGTTGCAATTTCAATAGAAATTCTCTAGTTGCATCCCTTCCTTTTAAGTAGAGGGTTTATTAAACATCTAGAGCCATTTTCTCGAGCCATAATTTTGTATAATAAGAAGAAAAGAAATGTTGCGGATAAAATTTAAATAAATAAATGTGTGCTTTCCCTTCAAAATCTTCAAGCATCATAGCTGCTTCACTAGCATTTAGAGCTAAAATAAAAATGACAAGTTTATAGGGGGAAAATATTAATGTTGCAATTTCAATAGAAATTCTCTAGTTGCATCCCTTCCTTTTAAGTAGAGGGTTTATTAAACATCTAGAGCCATTTTCTCGAGCCATAATTTTGTATAATAAGAAGAAAAGAAATGTTGCGGATAAAATTTAAATAAATAAATGTGTGCTTTCCCTAACAACTTAAACTTACAGATGAGGTGATCTAATATAATATTAGAGCAGGCTAAGGTCTTAGGATCAAGTCTTGCCATCACTCATGTAAGAAAATAAAAAAATAAATTATTTGCATGTTTGGCCTTCGATAAAAATTGAATACAAGCTATATGTTAAGGGACATGTTAAAGGCTAAATTTACATGAAAAAAATTGGAATCTATCTGCTTAAACTTTTAAATGAGGTGGTTGCAAAAGAAAATTGGTAAATGTGATGAGAGAAATAACCGTAGGTTTAGAAAATGTAGAATAAGTTTAAGCAGATCAGCTACGTAACTCTCATGCTGACTGAGAATAGTATAGAAAGATATTCATATAAAGGGTTCTTTGGAAGGCACGATAATCTTACCTATACTGAAGTAGTTCCAAAATCCCCCACGAAATGTGTGGCAACCTTCCTGAGAAATGCACAATCTATGGTTATTCCATCTCCAAATCCACATTAAGAAAGTATACATAAAATTGACTCAATCAAGATAATAAAGTTGCACGTTATCCAATTTTTGTTTGCTAAATTTTGTTTGTAATAATGTTTCAGTTTTACATTTTCCTTTCTGCTAGGGTTCTATAGTAAGGTGTCACAAGGAGGAAGCAATCGTAAGGTATGCAAATCAACATAGCGTCACCCTCTTGAGGCTGCATACTTCTTAAAGAGAGAGTGGACAAGAGGTTGTATTTTGTCATTCTAATATTATAAGTGATATATTTTTATCTTCTCGATCTAATGGCTGTAAGTTTGCATTTATGCAGATAGAAACATACACATGGGAAAATCATGAAGTACTGTAATAGGGGAGAAGAAGATGCAAAGGAGAAGCACCAGGAAAATAGAAATAGCAAAAATTTTTGTCACCTCATTCAGTGAATCTGTCTGGGAGACGCGCTGAAATACATGCAGTGAGTGAGGTAGCTCAAGAGGTGCAATAGGATCACAAGAACCTTCTTTGGGAGCCCTCATCCGCATAAGAATATGCCAACTGAACCAAAAGAGTAGATAATTTCAAATGGGGACGTGTTATAGAGGCAAAGAAACATTACTTTAGCCCAATCCCATCTACCCAGAAGCTATGCACAATGTAAAGCAAAGTTGAAATTTGGAATTGAATGAGGGAAAAAAAATTCTTATCAAATCCATATAGCATATAAGATTTTCCAATTTTAGGAAGTCAGCTTATGTGCTATACAAGGCCACATGAAATGCTAGATACAAGTGCTAATGCAATTCTACTTGAACCACAGTAGAAATCTTCCTAGATATCCTTTCTATAGAATTCATTCATAAAAGAAATAAAAAAAATCGGCATTTGGAACACCATTATAGTATATTGAAACAGGTTCAAATGCTAAAAGGTGACACTATTTTAATGGAGATCCAGTAAGACAGAGTACTTCAGGTTATTTCTGTAATTGTTAAGTTAAAACTCTATCTAAAGAAGTTTTATGCATTGTATTACATTATTTAGACCAATTCTCTCCCTAATTCTCTCCCCTCTTTCTCTGTTCTCTCTCTTCCGCTCCTCTCTCCCCTTATTTCTATTTCTTCCCCCTATTTCTCCTCCTCTTCTTATCTCATCTCTTCTATAGTTCTTGTGATTGTTCGGTTGCGTCTCCACGAAAACCCAGATTACTACCCTCCTAAACATGAAACTTTGTGATGATAAAAAAATGCACGTGTGTACAAATAAAATGTTCAAGTTTGTAAATGATACGTTGAAAGGCATCCCTGATCCACCAGTATAACACTACCTTCAGGATAACAAATTTAGCAACATTAATTACAAAAAGAAACAGTGTCTACCTGTCCACTTTCATCTCTTTTGCATTCTTTACTTGGTCCAAGAATGCCTTTACAGATTGGTAATCTATACCAGGATTTTTCTTCCCCTAAAGACAACGAAACAAAATTATTGCAGATGCAATCTGATAGCAACGAGTAATGTTGGAACAAACCTACAGTGCTAAGCCATAGTGATAAAGACTATGTCTGATCTAAGTTCGTCTAAATTTGTCACATACAACATAGTATCAAGTAAGCTACATCAGAGCAGGGTTGGGGGGATAGTATTGAATTATCACTTTTCAATATTTTGGTATCAAATTTAAACATGTTCAACCATTGAGTTGTACAGCATCCACCAAACAGCCATTACTAATGTATGGGACTCCACATAGGTATGTCGGGTTGGGTTTGCCTAGGTCTCAGCCTAGACTAAGAACACATTGGAAATTTGACACGAATAAGTATTGATGACACAAGTTCTTATAATTAGTTGCTTTATACAATTTTTTCCAATTTATAGTTTTTTCCTCCATTCAGACCCAGTCACTTAATGTGTCATTGTAGTCCACTAACGAGACATCATGATACCAATAAAATAAAAGGACAATCTGAAGTAGCAAAGAAAAACTAAGAAATTTCATGAGGCATCCACCACGGTCTTACGAAATTAAAGAGATATAAGCAAGATCAATAAACGAATACGGATAGAACTTATAAATATGATATCTGTTAGCTCTGAAAAGTATGAGTTACTACTGTATCACTTCACTGGGTTCATTTCTTTGAATTCTGAAAAAAATTTAATAAGTAAGCAATAACTTCTATCCTACCACAAAATATAATCTTACCCAACCAAATGCAAACGGGAGATTGTTTCCAGTTCCCAGTGGCATTGTTGCAATTGGTGGTGGCTGGGACAATTTAAGATCAGAAACCACTCCGAGGAGCCAACCAGCTGTTCCATCCCCACCAGCAACCTATAAAGTCAATCATTTATTAAGACATTCGACAAAAGAAAATCACAATATCTATAAATTTATTTGTTGAGTATACAAACTACACCAACCCTATTTGGCACATCTGAGTAGAATCCATAGTGTAAAAATTGGAGTTGCTTATTTAACTTACAATGATTCTCAATTTCCTCATAATTTCAGCAGATAACTCATCTCTGTTTTGTTTGTGCTTCTCCAAATTTAAATACACTCGGTGTAGCACCTTGTCGGGCATGTGTTCTGCCAAATTAAACACCTGAAAAATAAGTAAATCCTAATGTCAAAACTCTTTTGCTTAAGAACTTACAGTCTAAATTCTTCCATGATTGATTTACTGATTTTTGCAGTCAAAAGAATAAGAAAAAATGTTGAAACGGGAAAATGGAACCTGATTATTGTTAAGAAGTGTACGATACGTTATTAGAAGTTCACCACCCAGCTGCCCACCACTTTTGGAATTGACAAATACAATCACTGGACATGCAGGAACATGGTATCCGGCTCTAATTTCTGACTCAGGTAGAAGTATGTAATCAGGAATGTAGTACTCCTTCAAAATATCTGCAGCTTCTGAATCATCAACAGCAGCTTCTTCACTGGAAGACAACATTGAAAGATGTCATAAAACAAAATGCAGCTATAGAAAATCAAATCTTACCATTAAAGCATTTAGATCATGTCAAATCTAATGAATGATAAATGTCATTTACAGAAGCACATAAACATGTATACGGCAACGATTGCATCAAAAAATTTGGGATTCTAAATTTTACACAAATTGATCGAATTGCATGAAATAATCAGCACTGTGCTATTATCCATTAGATACACATGACACGAGATGTCAAGAAAATCTCATGCACACTTATGCTGCATCTGAACTTTCTAAAATACTCCAAAGAACTATGGAACATAGTTAGAAAAGTAGATAAAAGATACATAAATGCGATTTTTTCATTCTTCGTGTATGAGTTATGATTCTTATGGCTAAATCTTTGTACTTCCAAAAGCTTTAAGCAAACCAGGGCCCATACGATCCAGGTGTCTGGCGTTGGTGTTACTAACTAACCAAATAAAAGAAATGAATGTTCACCATTGATCAATGCACAAAGCAATATATTCAATCAAGAAAGAAAATAATCACAATAGAAAAATTGACAATTCACCAAGGCAAATAAAGTGCTCACCTTTTATTGAAAAAGTTCTGAACCGATTGTTTTAGCTCCATGGCCATGATTCGTGTTCCAGTGACCAATCTACTCACAAAATCTGCAGAACGAAACGAAAATTTGCTAACAGACCACCCCATAAATTTCAAAATTTCGGCCAAATCAGTTTCTCAAAAAGCAAACCGATTTGTATAGATAATAAAAATTAGGAAAAAGCAAAATACTTTACCTAGGCAAGAATTCAACGAGGATTCAAATGCAGATATCCGAAGCAAACAGTAGTTTCAAAAGGATATTCAATTTCTTAGCCTGCAAAGATTCTTTCTTACCAAGTGCGCTCCTGCTGTGTGTGTTTAAGAAGGAGAGTAGGTGAGAATTAAAATGAAAGCGTAGACGCGTGAATTGGAATGGGAACTCTTAGGGGTTAAGGGTTCCATCACCGATCGCTCCGTGTTATACTTTTCCGTTAGAATGGCTTTTGTTAGAATAAACACGGGTTGAATGGATTTTGTTAGAATAATCAAAATTCAAATTATGGTCTTGTATTTGAATACTGTAGAAGAAATTTGTTCGTAGTAACAATGTAACACTTGGCAAGGAAATTCGGTGGAAATGGTGGCTAATGGCTACCCCACCCACTTCTCCACAAAGCCAAATTTTCGAAAAAAAAAAAATGAAATGTAAACAAAATTGTTATGATCGAAAATACCCCCCTCATTTGCAAATCAAGAGAAGGCATTTAGAGAGAAAAAAGAGGAGAAAAAAAAAGGTAAAAAAGGAGTCTGGATTCGCCGCCAACCGACAACCCGGACCTGTCCTACTTCGACCTCTCTGGACACACCAC